TCCACGAGCGGATCGCAGCCCACGCCCACAAGCATGGGCACCGCCGAAGGACCGCCTCGCAGGCGTCCCAGTCGACGTAGCGCAGGCACGGCGCGTGCCGTCCAGCGATCTTGGCGAGCCGCGAGATAAAAAGGTCGCGAAGGGGACGAGCAGCGAGAGAAGCCTCACGTAGGGCAGCATGTGCAGCGCGTTGTGGCCGAGGGCGCGAGCGGCCCACGACATCCAGCGCGCCCAGCGCAGCAGCCAGCGGGCGGCTGCCACGCGCGGCCAGCGGGCCAGGCGGCGGACAGCCGGCAGCAGCGGCCTCCAGGTTCTCGACGAACGCCGGCGCCTTCCAGAAGGTGGGGTAGGGGAGGCCCGAGGCGAGCATGTCCAGCGTGCGCCAGTCTGGGTGGTCAGCAGCGCGCGCCCGAAGTCCTGCCAGCAGCGGGCGCCAGCACGGAAATGTAAGCGTAGCCGCACGAGTGATGGTGGCCGTCGCGAGGTGCCCCCAGCGGATGCAGCGCGGGCCGCCCCAGCGATCAAGCTGGACCCAGGCGTCCAGATGCAGCGCGCCGAGCGGCAGCCTGAAGACCTGCGCCAGCACCGATAGCTCCGGCTGCAGACTGGCCGCGGGCGGCCAGCAGAACTGCGCGACGTGCGAGGGGGTGGTCACGGCCCGCGCGTTGTAGAGGATGGCCGAGTGACTCGCGGGGGCGGCGCCGTGCCCGACCGCTTGAGCCCGCAAACGAAGCTTCGACAGAGGGCCCGTCCAGGACGTCGACGGGCCAACCGCAGGGCCCAGCCAGAGGCCGAGGTAGAGAAGCTGAGAGGTGATCTCGAACTCAGCCCACTCGGGGGTGAACCGCTCGATCGAGTTCCGAACGTCCATGGCCAGCGTCTCAGAGAAGGGCCCCGATAGAGGCACCAGCTTGCACTTCGCGACTTTCAAGTCCAAGTTAGCCATCCCCGACGCGCAAAACATCACCTAGGAGGCCTGGGACAGGGCATGAACGGAACGCAGGGCGCCTCCGATATCATCAGCACATGCACGAATGAGGCCCAGCTGAGGCCCTTCGATCTTCGCGGTCACGTCCACCAGGAAAGCGGTGATGCCCAGGGCGTAAAAGGTTCCAGAAATGGGGCAGCCCTGGATGATGCCGCTTTGTATCTAGAAAACGTGCTCGAAGTGCCCCTGGTGCAAAGTGGCCCCCTCGACCGACGAGTAGATGGAAGACGCGAACTGCACGAGAGGTCCAGGGGGGCCCATGAGACTGTGGCAGAGCGTCAGGAAGTCCTGGTTGAGAGAGGGGAAGGCCTGGCCGAAGTCGAGGGGATACAAAACCGGGGTGTCCCGCGAGGCATGGGGCGTAACGGACAGGATTCTGCTCGATACATCTAGCTCGAGAATGTTGACACCGAAGTTCCGACCTGGAACACTTCCACGCTGGCACTGTGGAGCCATGGCCTGCAACGCTGGGCGGGCGGCATGGTTGACCACCGCGGAGATGATCTTGAGGTCGCAATTCCGAAGTCCCGAGACACGAACCTTATCAGGAAAAGGAATACACGCGCGGTCCCTGAGTTCGTCATCCGTGACGTTCTTCGGAAGAACGATCTGGATCGCGCCCCCTGAACTCGCAAAGAGCTCCTGACCCCGAAGAATCCACTCGAGAGCTCCCCACACAATGTCAATGCTGAATGGCGAGGCCGCCCGCGCTGAGCATGGGGGGGCGTCGGGGCCAGGAGCCGAGTGACGAGCAGACCGAATGACACGAAGCATCATATCTCGAGAGGGCGGCGGCAGCGACACATGGTCAGCACTGGGGAGATGACGTCGGAGATAGGCATCAGCGGCGGCAGCGCCCCAATGCTTTTTCCGAAACACAGGGGCCCAATGGGCTGAGAGCTCACGGAGGCGATCGGCTGGGTCAGAAACAACTCCCCCGTCAGCCGCAAGCGCGCCAGACAAAGAGACGCGCCGATTAAGAGGAGACCAGGGGCGGGCCCGTCGCTCTAGAGCCCGAAGCTGGCACCGTGTCTGAAAGCGATCCCCGTCCCGACGCCGTAGTGATTCCAGTTCCTTACGCGAGACTTCAGCAGCCTCACTCTGAATCTGGTCAACCCCGGCCTGGAAAGACGGAGGATGCCGAAGCTCGACGCGCCCCGACACGATGGAGATGAAGTCCCCCGAGAGCGGACGCGAGTCCAGAGGGCGAGCGGCGAGGCGGCGATCCTGGCGCCAGACAACCCCGGCGAGCGAGCGAGCGAGCTGCGCGAGCGTGGTCGGATGATGAGGGCGATGGCGAAATAAGGCATCCCGAGTCTCAGCGGCCGCTATCTTCATGAGATCCTGTATTTCTCCAACTTGACTGGCGGCGAAAGAGACTCCCAATGCACGCCCCCGCAGGGGCCCTCCAGACGACGCCGAAACGCAGCTTCTCCAAATCGGTGCTTCGGGATGGGCCTGGACTTGGGAGGGCGAGCCACGCGAGGGGACATCGTGAGAAGGACTGCTGCATGATCAGAGATCCTGCGCTTAGAAGCCGACTCGGGGGTGTCGACCGCGGTGACCCGCGCGTGAATCTGACACATCTGCCAAACCGAGGAAGAGCAGAATATACGATCAATGGATGAGCACGACCCAGAAGATTTTTCGAAGTGCGATGGATCTTCGCACACAATCTCGGCGAGGACCGGGGGCGCCTCCCGCCAGCGAGGCCCCTGCCCGCGATGCCGTCTGGCACCGCGACGAACGGCAGCGGTAGGCAGCGCCAGCGACAGCGCATCGTGCACGGCAAAATTGAAGTCCCCCAGCACGAAGGTGGCGCGCATGTCTGGGGCCTCCTGCGCACGCAATCTGGAGGCCTTGATCGCCTCGACAACGTGACGGACGTCGGCATGAGCGAGCTCGTGGTTATGGATGTTGAAGACGTCGACGGAGTGGGAAGGAGACGAGATAGTGACTACGTGCGCACGCCCAGGAATGAGCACCATCTGCGCTGTAGTCGGCATCGCGCTGTGAGAGCCCGCAAGGGGAGGAACCAATATAGCCGCGCAGCCACGAATATGACCTGTCAACGGGTCCTCATCGAAGCTGGTGAAGATAGAGATGCCCGACGCAACGGTCGATGCGAAGGAAACGAGCCGGCGGTGGTCCTGATGCACCTCCTTGAGCGCAGTGACGGTGGAGCAGGGACGAAGTCTGTGGAGGTAGGCCTTCTTGATGCGCGCCTCGTCGCCTCCCGCCTGCAAGAGGGTCCTGGCATTCCACGTAGCGAGTCGCAAAGTGGGCGCCGCAGCCGAGGCGGACCGAGGGGCGAGCAGGCTGGCGACGCTAAAGAGACCACTGGGAGGGGTCCGCCGGGTGCGTGATGTCGCGGCACGCCGCACGCAAGGTCTCGACATCCATGTCGTGCTTGCGGAGAACGGGGATATCCCAATAGAGCTTGGGCGGCGTGTCGCCATGAAATACTTGAAGCTGCATGAACTTGTCCCAACCAATCGAGAGAACGGCACGCTCCTTGTCAGAGAACAGGCGCCTGCCTGGGTACTGAAGGTCGACTGCTTGGCGCACTTTGCGATGCGTGAAATCCTGCTTGATGCGCTTCGGGCCCTTGTCGGGGCCCAAATGAAGCCGGCAGCGCTCGGCGCCAGGAGGGGTGACCCAGAACTCCTTCCAGCCCGATTGATCACGGAGGCTGGATATGGCCGTGCGAGCTTTGCGTGCAGCAGCGCCCGACGGTCTCTTGAACTGCACCTCGAAGCGGCGGGCGGGCGCCATGCCCCGAAGCACGATGGAGAAGTCCTCGCTGGAGAAGCCAAGCCCTTCAAGCCAGGGCTGCAGGGAAGCAGCGATGCTGGCCTGGGTGGTGGGCTTCTGGGCAACAGCGACAACGATGGTGCTGTCCTCAGCACGCTCGAACGAAGAAGGCGGGGGCTGCTCGTCACGAGGCGCGGCGGCAGCAAGGGCAAGCTGCTTGCGGAGCTCCGCCACCTGTTCCCGCAGGTTGTCGATGTCAGAGTCGTGGCGGTCCAGCCTGGTCTGAGCTGCGAGGAGCTGCGCAGTGTGTTCATCAATCTGCGCCTGGGAGCGGCGGCTGGCCGCGTCGAGCCGTGGGCCAACGTCGATTGCACCTGTTGCTCAACTGAGGTGGCCTGCTTGGCGACCTCCGCCTGCATGGCCGAGAGCATGTTGAGGGTAGTGTGGTTCTCGCCCACAGTCTTGGAGATGCTGCTGCTGACCTCGGCGGTGATCGTGCCCCGCATGTGCTCGAACTCCTCGCGGCAGACCTGCCTAATGTACTGGTCAGAGGTGAAGTCGTCGGCCTCCATGTCCACGGGCTCGTCAGAGCCAGGTTCGCCAGGAGCATCGGCAGCATGACGTTTGCGAGCGATAGAGCGGAGCGACCCCTTGCCCTTGCCCGCACCGCGGGGCGGGACCTCCTGGCTGGGGAAGGTCGGCAAGGTGCCCATGCCCTCGGCAAGCTCGCGAAGATCCTGAGACGCGAGAGGAGCACCATCGGCCATGGCAGGAAGCGAAGAAAGCGTGTCCGCCAGCCGCTGAAGGCTGGATAGCCCTGATCGAGGGCTGCCTCACTCAAAAACGGGCCTGACCAGATCTTGAGCCAAAATGGCAACGGAGGAGAAGGAGCAGGAGGAGGAGGAGGAGGAGGAGGAGGAGGAGGAGGAAGGAAGGGGAGGAGGAGGAGAGAGGAGGAGGAGAAGGAGGAGGAGGAGGAGAGGAGCAGCAGGAGGAGGAGGAGGAGGAGGAGGAGGAGGAGGAGGAGAGGGACAAGGGAAGGGGGGAGGAGGAAGAGGAGGAGGAGGAGGGGGAGGAGGAGGAGGGGGAGGAGGAGGAGGAGGAGGAGGAGGAGGAGGAGGAGGAGGAGGAGAAGGAGGAGGAGGAGGAGGAGCAGGAGCAGGAGCAGGAGGCCCTGCAGGGCGAGAGGAGCCTCTTGCCCGGGGCTGGCGCGCGGGCGCTCCTGGAACGTCCACCGCCGGCAGGCGCCGATGCGCGC